ACCATGCGGTTGATGACCTAACGTGAGATCCAACGACGCTCCCATCGCCGCCGCCGCCGCCGCCTCCCACTTCGCATGGACCCGTTCTGCTCTGAAGACGCATTCCTCACAAAAAATGATGTCAGCCTGCTTCATCAAGAGGCGTCGAACGCCATCTTCGTTACAAGGCCAGTCATCGTTGCAATTGCGAGCACAGTTTCGTGAATATGCGCACCAGACCCTGTGGCCACAGCACAGATTGTGTGCGTAGCAGTTGGAACTAGGGAATGGGCTAGCCAACAAGGCCCCAACGCCAACGTGCGGAACTCGAATAGCCGCTACTATCTCCCCACGTGTAAGACCGATACAGCGCCGGGGCATGGGTATGGTACTACGTGGGAGGTCGTCGGAAGGTGGTTGCATTCTTCTGTAGTTGTCCCAAGGTATGCCTTGACAAACCTCGCAGTAAAGGAAATCAGGGCGCTGCACCTCGGGCAAATACAGGAGGTCTCGGGTCGTCAGACTGAGAGGATGGATGAGCGATCGACTTGACTATGTAGGTTCTGTCACGCGCATACAAGGTAGAGCTTTGGGCGCTGTTGGCGGTCTCTTGACAATTGATGCCGCAGCGTGTATCCCCTCCATCAATAGCGACGATATGGCCGCATTTGAGTCTGAACAAGGGCGTACAAAGTCAGTGTATGTTTCACATCCACTTGGCACAGTGGAACTTACAGATGAAACATGCCTGACCGGACATTACCATCATGGCGGAGTATAGCAGCGCAAGGCTCGATCGCAAATTGGGCCTGCTGATTACTCGCGGGTTCCCCATAGCTGGCTTGTGGTGGAACGGGGGTCTTATACTCCATCTCGGATAGAGTTTAGGGGAGGTGGGCGGATATTGAAAAAGCTGACAGCGAGAATTTGTAACGCTGAGGAAAGACTCATTGGTCGGCGGGGTGAAGGTGAGAGTGAATTGAAAATCGAAACCTCGGGCAGACGGCCTGAGCTCACCAAAGATTGCCATTTCCTAAGTCTCGTTGTTGCAACAACCATTGAGGAAGTCGCAATGGCAGAACCAAGTCGGTCGTTGTTGCCATAGTCGTCACAGACACTGCTTACTATTTTAGGTCAGCTTGCGGGAGGTTCAGCATAGCAGTTGACCCAGGCGTCGTCTTGGCTGTTCCCAACTCGCCATTCTTCAGTTGGGGGACGATGGAGTCGTAGTGTGTGATGCCGAGATGCCGATGGGAAGCAGCATGACTAAGCGGAACCCGACTGCAAACACGGCAAACAGCAGCTGCAGGGAAGGCGGGTGAATGCTGATAGGATGGCTACGTCTCAGCTATCACACCTCACTCATCCAGCGCGCCTGCTCGTCTAGTCTGCCTCGACTCTTGGACTGTGCCTGCTCATGGAGACGCGGCTGCTGCTCCTACAGGACGCTGGACTCGCTGGGGGTGGCTCATAGCCCGCAATTCCGAAAGGTACTCCTCCAATTGTCCCGCCCGCTCCATGCCACCCGTCCGCTATCGCGAAACATCCCGCACGCCATGTCTCCCGGCGGCCCTGGACATGTCCAGGAGCCGTCTGCGTCGGCCCTCTACGACCTGTCGCCGTTGATGGGCTCGCTCTCTAATGTGCTCGCAGGGACTTCGCACCACACCGGCAACAGGTTGCCCATCATTCAGCCTGCATCGCCGCCGAACAAAGGCGCGCCGCACGCTTCGCCCACCAACAACCGACCCGCCGTCTATTCCGCAGCCAAGGCACATGCACATGCGACTGCCATTGCCAGCTCTGGGTCCTCAGCAACTGAATCTATCTCCGAGTTGACGTCGTCGTCGTCACGGGATTCCCTCCCCAACCCCCCAGGGCGCAACGGCCCTACCACGCCCCAGAAGCCGGCGCGCAACAACAGGCGGAAACACTCGACCAAGTCCGTGGGCAGATGGAGTAGGCCGCCCGCCTCTTCAGATGATACCGGCTCCGACCGCAAACCGCCCACCTCGACGCCCGTAGAGTCCGCCCAGAGCGCCGCTCGCTCCCCCCAGACTGCGTCCAAGACACGCCAGCAACCCTCTCTTGCTACCACCAGCGCTTTGCCGAGCCAAACGCGATTCATGGCAACAACCTTTGGAGGTCCTTCGGGTGATTCGCGACGGGGAGTAGTCTCTCCTCGCCCTAAGGGACGCGGTATGACGCAGTTACACCTATATATATACACTACATGGCAAGTCTGACTGGCCCTCCCAGAAGCGAAGAACACCCTATGTCGCAACGTCACCATCTACGGACACTGCCGCTATGAAAACAGTAAGTCTTGGTGGCTGCATCGGCCGAATGCTTTGGTGACCCGAGTCTAGCCTGTCCCTACATCCACGACAACCTCAAGTTGGGCCAGAATGAAAACGCAAAAAAGAGGTTCAATGTCGACTCTCCTTCCTTTACCCCGCTGCAGGCAAGTACCAATGGGTCCGTAACTCCATCCTCTCGCAGCGCCACCATCTCGCCCAAGGCTGCCAACGCTGCCGTCTTTACCCCTAAATCGCAACGCTCCAGTGAGTTCTTAAACAATCGCCAGTACCGTCTCTCTACACATGCTGATTACCTCAGCCGTCACCACCCCGCATATGCACGCGAAAGAGCCCGCAATCGATTGGCATTCGCAAGACTTTCAAGAGTTCGTCCCGCAGTCTTTTGAGGGCCAGCAGATGGTGCGTGACTTTACTTGAACATATTCGTCATCTTTTCGTGATATTAGAGCATCTTCTCGCACCTTGTTCTCAACTTACAACGCCCTAGGTCGAATCCAACCTTGGCTACGATCCATTCAGTACTCCGTCCAGCATCTCTACCCTCACTGGTGCAACTCACCAGGCTGCTACCATTAATCCATATGCACAAGATGCATCGACGACGTATTTTCAAAATGCCAATGCCTTCCAGACCCCTGCCTACCATCTGTACTGGCCGGTAGGACCACAGCCAACAGGGCTACTCGCATACCAGCGTACTGCTCATGACTTTTTCATCCCTGACGCACTACGGGAAGAGCTGCAGAAGAAGGCGGATATTGCACGCCAGGTCGCACCCAACAGTACTTTACCCGTCATTGAGCAGTTTCACTCTTTATTCTGCCTGGACATGTCACCACAGAAAAACACTGCACCTTTCGGGTACGCTAGCTGGATCTACAAAGCTGTTTCCAGCAAAGATGGCAAGACCTACGCGTTACGCCGTCTCGAAAATTTCCGCCTTACAAGTGAGACTGCGATTCGCTCCGCTCAGCCATGGAAACGCGTCTTGAATGGCAGCGTGGTTACAATCCACGAAGCCTTCACCACTCGAGCTTTCGGTGACAGCTCTTTGATTCTGGTCACAGATTATCATCCAAACTCAAAGTCACTGGCTGATGAGCATTTCAAACCAGTGCAGCGATTCCATGGCAGGCAGCCAGCATCATCACATGTACCAGAGCAAGTCCTATGGGGCTATATCGTTCAGATCGCGTCAGCCCTCAAAGCCATACACGGTTCGGGTCTGGCAGCGCGCCTCATCACACCATCCAAGATACTACTGACTTCGAAAAACCGGATACGACTGAATGCATGCAGTATCATGGACATTGTTCAATTTGACAATGCTCGCCCTGTGCCCGAACTTCAAGCAGACGACCTGGTGCAGCTGGGACGGCTGATACTTTGCATTGCCAACAATAACGCTACAGCTCATTTGCAGATGCAAAAGTCCATGGACTATATCACTAGAAGTTATACAGCCCGCCTTAAAGAATGCGTGCAATGGTTGCTCAACCCCCAACCAGCACCAGGAACACCATCTTCTCCAACTACGCCAGCGCCAATGCAGAAAGACATTGACACCTTCCTGGGTGGCATTGCCGATCAATTCGCATCAGTCTTTGACAGTGAGCTACACGCTCAGGACACACTTACAGTCAATCTTGGGAAAGAGCTGGAATCTTCGAGACTGGTCCGTCTGCTTGTCAAGCTCAACATGATTAATGAGCGACCAGAGTTAGACGCCTCACAGAGTATGCCGGGCAACAACGGCCCAAACCCATCTTCAGTATGGGCAGAAACGGGAGAGCGCTACTACCTCAAGTTGTTCCGCGACTACGTCTTCCACCAGGTAGACGCCAACGGACACCCCGTCACAGACCTTGCGCATGTTTTGGATTGCTTGAACAAGCTAGACGCTGGAACCGATGAGAAGATACCGCTCGTTAGCCGTGACGAGCAAAATGTGCTGATAGTCAGCTACCGCGAAGTGAAGCGAGCCCTGGAATCAGCATTCCAAGATTTAGTACGGGCGGGACGTGTTTCGGGGAAATAGGATTCCTCAAACTCGTCCAGTCCACGCGGCTAGCATCACTATGGATATGCAAAGAGAAAGGCTTCTCAAATCAGAGGAGCCTGAGGAGGGTCAGGTCAGAGAATAGTAAATCAAGTTAGGTGACGTGAGCATCGGTGTTCCTCCCGTCAGAAAGAGATTATTGAACGGAAGAACGGGCTGGAGCGGATTTGACATGATTGCATGAGTTGCGTATTGTTGTTGTATTGACGGAAACAGACGGTATAGTAAGAACTAGAGGACCACAGACTATTCATAGCGCAATGAAAATCGCAATTTCAGCTTCGGACAGTTTTCATGCAGTGAAAACAAACGTATTATTATGTAACTCTATGGAGTACATGTTCATCTCGCGCCGTATGGCCCTTCTGTTGAGAGGCAAAGATGCAATCGTACAAGAAAAGTTTGAGCTGAAAGCGAATGAAGGAGTAAAACAAACAAGTGAAGTCGCAGATCACTACAATATGAGTAGATGGACGAAAAAGTGAAAATGAAATGCGCCGAATGTGCACGCAGAAAGTCTGCAGGTGCAGCCGCCAAAATACCACTCGGCGCGCGGCGCGTCTCCTCAACCAGTGAGCCCCTTTACCGGCTCCATACGTGTAACTCGCCAGTCTCATGCCTTGTCACATGTCACAAGTCATCTATTGACTCTTCTTGGAACCCCTCCTAGGCAAACCCGCCTTCCTCCGCGCCTTCCTGTCACCCTCAGCAAGCCACTGACTCGCCTTGACCATCTGTACCACATTGATCCATTGCTTGATAGCCATAAAGGGAGCCGAGGTAAGCATGCAGATCCACGGGACCGTCGAGTCCATCTTGTTAGCACGAGCCATCTCCATGGCTGCGGCGGAGAAAGGACTGGCGAAGAACATGGAGGGTTTAGGAGCGGCAGGCGAACCGGGCTGGATGGAGGATGGGTTGTTGAGGTCGGAGAACAGGGTGGGCGAGAGGAGCGGGGAGCTGAAAGAGAGGAGGTAGAGGGCGATGAAGAACATTTCGTTCATGAAGCAGAGGGTGAAGAGAACTTTCTGTCAAAGTTGTTAGTATATGCTTTGTGGCCTGTGCTACACACGAGATATCAGTCGGGTAGGACGTACGTTGTTGGAGTAATATTGCTTCATCAACCAACCCTTGCTCTCGTCCACGTTCTTGTGGCTCTGGTCGCTGCCACCCATGCTCAGGGTCGCGTACATGTGCATGTAGTGACTGGCCAGATCCAGCGAAATAAGGCCCTGGAAGACGATGCTGAAGCGAGGGAAAGCCTGCGCCAAGAAGACGAGCAAGCAGGTTGTTGTACACCTGTCCGTCACCATGTCTAGCACGGCACCAAACTTGGTGCTCTGCTCATATGCTCGGGCCGCGTATCCATCGAGCGCGTCGAGCAGGCAGGATATGCTGTAGAGGAGGGTGCATGTGCGCGGGTGGAGGGGCATGTAGTAGAGTGAAATCAAGGCGAGGAAGACGCGCGAGTATCCTGAGAGTCTGTTAGTCAGGTCGCCGTAACGTGAAAAGGACGCGCATACCAATCAGATTTGGGATGAAGAGGAAGATGTTCTCTTTTGCGCCCTCCTTCTCTGCCTGTGCAGGCCGCACTGCGGTGCCATTGCCGTTGACTCGCGTTTGTACTGATGCCATGGTTGCAAAGGTTGTGATTGTCTCGCCGTCTTCTCAAGTGCCTGCAATGCCGAAGTCCGCTATCACGACGTGTCTTTGTACACAGGTGTGCCCCGCTGCGCTTATTCGAAGGAGTCGAGGCTCGTATGCGCGCCTTGCTTATGCTCGGAGTACTAGGCTGCAGGAAATCGTCCGAGGATGACGTGGAACGATACGTATTCGCAGGCTGAGTATAAAACTACAGCGTAGTTGAAGGCGAGCGTGCTAAAAGCTAACAAACACTGTCGAGCTTGCAATAGCTGTTGAAGCTGAGCGGGTCCAGACTAGAAAGTTGTCGAATAAGCCGCCGATAAGCCGAGCTGATAACGAACCCTGTCGCAAATGCAGAAGTAGGAAGTGTGATTGCAAAAGAGTAAGGCCGAACGGTAGAAGCAGGTGATGTGAGTTTTGTTGAAAGGAGTGTACGTGTCAAAAACAGGTGGCAGTAAAGTAAGTGGTGCCTGGAAATTGAGGTAGCCCATAAATCTGCCATGTTCGTCCGCCAGCTCCCGGTTATCCGCCTAGACCAAAAAGGGGCTTGCTTGGCAGATGAGATCAATCAGACATCAGACCCATCATCGAGCGGACCAAACTACTTGCCTCCCTCAGTGAACAAACGTCTCTCGGAACGAGTATCGCTGGATGATGGCATCAGGCAGTACAGCAATAGCCTCACTTGATATGAATGATTACTGCATATTGATGCAAAGTGGTATCATTAGGATATACTTTCAGCCACGAAACTAACAACCAAAACATCTAGTCTTTGAAGCCCTTGAACGATCCAGTCTTCGCCGCAATCTTCTTGGACTTACTCTTCGCGTGAGCTTGCTTCTCCTTTGCTTTGCCGGTACTTAGGCCTCGATCAGCCTTGCCCTTCTTGAACAGCTTGCCTTCTGTTCGGACATCCTTCATCTCAAGCTTCTTTCGGTCCTTGCCGCTGAGCTTCTTCTTCTTCTCCTTGCCCTTGACCGATCCTCCGGCCTGCCCGTTGAGCGCGGCAGCACCCCTTTCCCTCTCTGCCATCTTGTCCTTCTCAGACTCGAACCATGTGCGTCTTGGTCGGGCCTTGATCTCATCTTCGTGCTGTATCAAGTTCTCACCTCGTTTGAGGTCACGCTCTGTGATACTCATGGCACGCTCCTCCTTCTCTTCAGCGAGAACCTCTTCAATCTCACCCTCGAGGTCCTTGATCTTCTTCATCCACCTGTCAGTCTCTTCGACAGGGACTTGCCGACTGACTACCTTGGCGCCCTGGTCGCGAGAAGCCTTGACAGCTTGCTTGACAACCTTGCGATCGGGTTCTGCGGCAAGCGTGCAGGCCCGACCACTTCGTCCAGCACGAGCGGTACGACCGACACGATGCAGGTAGATTTCGTGGCTCTGCGGTGCTTCGTAGTTGATGACTGTTGAGACGTTCTTGATATCAAGACCACGTGAGGCAACGTCGGTAGCCAGTAGGTAGGCCGACTTGCCTGAACGGAAGGCTTCTACGGATTGGATACGCTGTTGTTGTTAGTATTGTGTCATATCTCGGACGTTCTACAATTTCTTACCTGCTCTTGGCTCATGTTACCGTGGAGCTCGCTGGCTTTAAGCCCACACAGAGCAAAGACAACTCGCACCCTATGCGCCTCCTTCTTCTGCCTGAAGAAGACAATGACTTTCTCGGTGTAGATCTTTTCACAGATGTACATCAGGTACGCAAGTCTCTTGTCTTCTTTGCCTTGCCTCAATCGCACAAATTCTTGCGTCAAACCAGCTACAGTGTGCTTCTTGGCATCGACCATCAGACGCACCGGCTTGTCCATACCAATTTGAATCAGCTTGTCAACCGAACTTGTCATCGTAGCAGAGAAGAGCATGGTCTGTCGCGATTTTGGAATGGTGTTCAGGATCTCAGTCAGTTGGCTTTCGAAACCCTCTTCGAGCATACGATCAGCCTCATCGAGGACGAGAATCTCGAGATGCTCAACCTGGAAAGCAGCTGTGTTGTGCATGTGATCAATGAAACGACCAGGTGTGGCAATAACAACGTCTGGTCGTGTCTTCAGGACAGCTTCTTGGTCGCGCGTTGAGAAACCACCAGCCATTAGTGCGAAAGTGATGTCGGTGAAGGACGCAAGCTTGGTAGCGACGTTGAAACATTGCACCGCCAACTCACGCGTAGGCATAAAGATAGCGACACGAGTTGTAGGAACCTTCTTTGGGCGGTAGAGAAGACGCTCGAGGATAGGGATGAGGAAGGCGGCCGTTTTACCGGAACCAGTTTCGGCTCCTCCCACGACGTCCTTGCCTTGCATCGCAATGGGAACTGCTTTGTTCTGAATAGGCGTCGGCTCGGTGAAACCCACAGATGCCAAACCTCGTAGGATGGGTCGCGAGAGTGACATTGCTTGGAAGGACCCTGTGCTGCCTTTCGCGCCCTTCTTCTTCTTGATAGGTACGCTGTCTTCTGGCGCGAAGAAAGCAGCTGCCTTCTTAGCCTCAACAGCATCCTCTTGCTCACTCTCCACTTCGTCTTCTGTCTCGGCACCCTCGAGGTCCATGGGATGCGGTACGTGGGGTACCTCTGCTTCGTCGTCCGAGTCGTCCTCTTGGGAATTGCCTCCACTGCCCTCATCACCTGAGGCTTCTTCATCTTGATCCTCCTCGTCTTCAGAGTCGCTTGCTGCGCCCATGCCAAACCCGTCCTCGGCCATGAGCTCATCATCGTCGCCAAAACCCTCAAAATCACCGTTGACTGAGGCCTCTGGCGACTCCGCGTCTATGGCTGCTTGTGCGCTCTTCTTATTCCGTCTCCGCTCAATGATATCATCAACGTCGACTGCATTGCCCTTCTTCTGTGACTCCTGCGCTACTGTGCCATTGTCATTGCCCCAGCCATCGAACTCCTCTACAAAGCCAGTGTCTATGTCGCCGACTGCGAACTCGAAGTCGCTAGCAATGTCGTCGTTCTGTTCGACGTCTTCGCCTGGTGTTGGCATCGCATCACCATCTTCTTCGAGCTCTGGTTCGGCGTCGGCTTGTTTCCCCTTCTTTCCCTTCTTCTTATCCTTCTTTGCTTTCTTGGACGCGACCTCTTTGGGCTTCACGTTGAGGTCTGGATCTTCGGTGTATTTCCTCTTCTTCCCGGCTCCAGCTAGTTTGGCCGTCGCCGCAGCGGCGTCGTCGGCGCCACCGTCGTCGGAAACATCGTCGTGGTCGGAGATTGTGAAGATGAAATCGTCGTCAAGATCTGGTGCCATAATTGCGTGATATCAATATGAATCGTCACGTTTATGAAAGTTCAGCACTTACAAGCGTCGCAAAAAAAGTTCGGGCCCGGGGGATCTGTGCTCAGCGCACCCCTGTCGCGCTAAGCAGCGTCGCCGCAACCACTACGAGGAGGTGGGTCTCGAACTTGTAGCGAACACCATACCATACCGCGTCGTGAAGATACTTGCACCCTTCTAATTGGTTAGCACGTTTGTTGCGAACACTACGCCTGCTGCGGCCGCTCTCGTGTAGAGATCGTCTAAACTCGGGAGCTGCGCAGCTCGTGACTAGCGTGTTGACTGCCTATCAGGCATCCTTGGATCAGAGACATTTGCGGCAAACGAACATGGTCCAATGACAACTGACGACTCACGCCTTTCCACGATACTGGATGTCGCAATAATTTGAAGCCGCCCTGTTGTAGAGTAGCTTGCCTTGTAATTACTCTTATGTGGCCACTGCAACTGCTAACCTTCATCCAATAACCTATCTATTGAGTAGTCAACCATGCGTCAGGCTGGCAACATGTGCGGGTTCATACTTCGAAATTCCAGGCTACTGACTTCCTACAAACGAACGGAAGACCTCCCATGAGTCACTGCCTATCAATTCAAGTGAAGAATCAGGCACCCATGCCGCCTTCCGGCATCGCTATACTGATGTCAGCTGCAGCCTCAGCCTCGTATAACTAGCCTTGTCAGTCAATCCTCAGTCTTTAAACCTCCACTGTCACACTCCTTACTCTGATCGGCCGCTTTAGCCATAACGATCAACTGAGATTGCAACACTACGTCACTGACCACAACGTCACACAATGCCTAAAGCCGTCAAACCACCCTTAACGAGCAGCCGAGTCCTACGATCTCATACCAGACAAGCAGCTACAAAAGCCGCCCCAACGAAGGTCACCAAGAAACGTCGCCCGCGTGCAGATCCCTGGGCGAAGAAGCGCAAGCCAAACCCCAGTCCCAAGCCACGCAAACCACCGCCAACCGACTTCACATGCCGCATTTGCATCGAGGAGAAACCTACAGACCAATTCGTAGGATGGGTTCCTCCAAAGCGCGGTCGCTGGCGACCAACAGACGTCCCATTCGCCTGTGTCGCCCATCTAGCCCGTAACCCCAGCAAACGGAAAGTCGACTCCGTCTGTAAAACATGCATTGGGCGCTTTCTCTCTGCCAAGATGGATACACTAGGCGTACGAACAATCAACAACGGCTGTCTAGAACCTGGTTGCTCAGTACCCTGGTCCCACGACTTCGTCTTACGCTATATGCCGCCCGGCGCTCCACTGGAGAAATTCAACATGGAAATGCTGGAGGTGTGGAAAGAAACTGCAAGTCCAGCACCACTCACTTGTCCATCGCCGATGTGCAATGCAATTGGTCTACCAGACACGGCAGCGGCGGGGTACCCGCAAGTTACTTGTCACGAGTGTGCGTTCCGATCTTGCGCCCAGTGCCTTGTTGCTTGGCATAAAGATGTTACATGTGCGGAGTATGCGGCCAAGCATGTCGACGAGAAGATAAGTGAAGAGGAAAAAGACACACTCAAGTATATGCAAAAGTTGGATGGAAAGAGGTGTCCGAACTGTCAGTTGGTCATTGAAAAGGATGGGGGATGTGATAGTATGGTGAGTGAGGTCCACTTCTCATCTTTCTCGTTTCAGATCATCTTTGGCTAACGGAGCGGACTAGTTCTGTGTAGGTTGCCACAAGTACTTCAACTGGGCCAGTGCCGCTTCAGCCTTGACCGGTGCTAAGAGAGCCGAAGTGCCTTACATTCGTGACATGCCTTACTGGCAGAATGTCGGTACTGTTACTTGCGAAATGGACGGTATCCTTGGACTGGGTGGTACTGCCGGTACTGTTGCTGTCACATCATGAGTGGTCATCACTCAGTGTTGGGGAAACATGGTTACGACTGATATGATTACGATGCGACATACATTGCTACATGATTTGTAATTGCGACATGCGTACAGAACACCCCGGTGTGGGTTGTTTCAGGCTTGAGTATGTGTGGTGGTATCTTTATCGAATCATGTTGTGCATAACATTTATTACATCACATTTCTGAATACACGAAGACATCATTCTTGAATCTGTCGAAGCCCCTAGGCTTCAAATGTTTTAGATTTCTGGTGTACAGAGTTTGCGTATTAGTTACAGAATCCCGATTCGCGGCCACGAATACCCTTCTTTCCTCGTGTGGTGTAAAGCAAATTGATCGCTCCCCTTGGTGATTGTGACTCCATTGCGTGGACGAATACCACCTGTCCCGCTATTCACAAACGCCATGTGATGCATTTTGAACGCCAGCCAACGTCAACTAGAGAACGGGGGTGATGCATTAAGTAAAGTGTGCGTGATCAAACCTTCTTGTAGTGTTTTTGTGACTCGCTTGGGTGCAGTCTTTTCCTACTTTTTTTCTGGTTTTGTTTGTTAGAGGCCCTCGGATGTACTGATACGCACCTGATGCGGCGTCGAGTCGCAACTCCGGAGGCGTCTCTAGTCGATGAGGACCTGCGTGATCAGGCAGGCAGGTTGCTAACGAGCCGCACCTTCGGTAGTGCAGGCAGAACTGAAATGAAGAAGAATGTCAGAAAACCCATGGGATATCAAGTGAATGATAGAGAAGAGAAATAGCGAACATGTGCTAGCTTAGCTGAGAGGGAGCTTATGCTGCCGTTGGAGTAGGCACTCCATTGGTAGCAAGCTCGGACTGTCGACGCTTTGCTGCTGAATGCTCGCTGTCCTATATCAGCACAATGGTTAGCATGGTAACGTAAGATTGCTCTCTGGCGCGGGCGAGCGTCGAGAGGATTTGAGGAGGTGGGAGTCACGCACGTCAAGGCCTGTATCGGCGAAGTGGCGCTTAGCACTTTTCGCGTCCTTCTTCTTCTTGTCTTTGCTAGGCTTCTTCGGTCGAGTCTCTCCCTTCTCGAAAACGTCATCGGGAAGCGCAGTGCTAGCAAGTCAGCAGAGGTCTGGGCATGAGTGAAGGTGGGGGTCTTACTTGCGGGTATGAACCACCTTGACCGACATCGTTTTGTCGTCGTAGAGGTCGGAGTCAGTGATATAGCTCCTGAACTGACTCACTGGATAGGAGATATCGAGCGACTTTGTAGCATCTACACAAACAGTCAGAGATAGGTGAGAGATTTGGCAAACTAAGTATACTCACCTGGAGGTAGAGTGAGACCGATGTAGAAAGTAGTCGTGTAGATAATGTGGGTGTCGCCATTGGCTGGCTCCGTCCCCTCAGCAGGTACTTCAGATGCTGGTATCATATAGTCAAGCGAACCCTGCGTGACCTCATGAAATTGATCGTCTTTGCAGCGATGGTACCGTTCAAAGTATTTGATGTAAGGGCGCGCTGTATCGATGCCCGTCTGTCCATCATCGATGCCCTTGACAATGTGACGAATCTTCGATTGCACGAGTCCGGAGAAGGTGGAGTTAGCTTCCTTGCTGCGACTCGCGGCCACGACACTGAGGTAGTACTTGTGGTCTTTGGTAAAGAAGGAATGTCGCTCAAAGAGGGAATCCCAGTCCTTGGCACCTGAGAAGATGTGTTGTAAGATCTTGTCCGCTCGTCCGAACTCTTCCTTCATGATGCGCAGTGTCGATGGCATCACCGTGTGGGTAGCGCACATGGAAGGGAATGCAGGTGTAATTATAGGCATGAGGTGAGCTCGGTCACCACCGTAGACCTGGGGGTTCCATACACGAAGACCCAAGTCGCCCTCTTCGATGTGTTTCAGCATAACGGGTCGCGGCCAGGTCCACTTGTACATCAAGCTGAAGAACTTGGAAACGATAGTAGCGCCGTTGGCCATGGGATATAGCTGACAGATACGCGCAACCATGATAGCCCACGCGACACCACCAGGGTATCCGAAGACTGCTCCATAGATGCCGCGGCGGTTCGACCAGAGTTTGATGGCCCTCAGCGCGTGTCGAAAGCTGACCTTTTGTGGCACCGCGTCCAGGAGCTCGTTGGTTACTCGTGTGCCATTGACGCTCCGTGTCGCTGACTCGCTGAGACCCTCCAGGTCCTTCTTTTCAATCGTCTCCATAGTCCTGGGTATCGACGACCTCTTGGGCAGAGACGTGAATAGTAGATCTATGCTCACACCGCGATATTCCATCTTGATAATCGGCACAAAGGCATCTTCGACGGGCACGAATTCGGTGATGTCTTCCGTGTTTGACATTTCTTTGAAGGTCGGAGGGAAGTTTTTGAAGAATTCGTCGATGGTGACGAACTTGGGCGCGACAACGAGAGTATCGATATCCGACGTGGGACCGTGGACGCCGAGAGCGTAACTACCAAAAGTGAAGATCTTGCCGCCGGCAGCATCGAGGACGGACTGCTGAACACCCTTTTGTTTGCCGACGCGACGGACGAACTCTTCGACGACTTTCTGGATGTGCTCAATCACCTCCTCCCTGACAAGATTAGCTTGGCGCAATCGTGTGCCGAACGGCTATCTTACCTCCTGCGGTTGCCTTCGGGAGTCTCGAAGACATTCTCAGCTTTAAGTGTTTCGATAAGCTTGTCGTTCAGCTTGATGTCGTGTTCGGTGGGCGCGGCCTCGGAGATGGCGCTGGTGACACCAAACTGCCGGGTGGGCTTCTTCTGACCGTCCATGGTGAAAGTCGAGAGTCGGGGCTGCAGAGTCGCGCAACTTCGGGGGTGCTGCGGCGAGCGGCGCGAAGGAAGTTGCAATCAATGCGCGTGTCGAGGAGGTTTGTCGTGAGAGGCGGCTGGGAAATGAGTGTAATGAAAGATTCAGCGCTCCCACATGGCGACGCGATCTTTCCCGAGTTGCAGTCTGGAAAGTGAATGCGACATCAGAAGTCGAGGATGCATCTGTCTTGGGAGCAGCCCGTTGCCAAGCCCCTAATAATGCGCCACTGTGGCTCAACACCAGCATTGACGCGTCCCCAGCGTATCTTCAACACGCCTCACTAATCCACCATCAGACATGGCAACATCATTACCGGCACATCTCACTTACAAGACTGCGCTGGTCTTGCTACCTCCATCTAGCATTGCTGCGCCAATCGATCGAGTTCGAGGTATATACGACAAGCATTTCAAGCGATGGCCTGCACACATCAATCTGTTATACCCATTTTTATCTGAGCCTTCTGAGCCTAGTGGGCATGGCAACGGCTCGCAGTCAACTCTCAAGCCCGACATACGTGCACGTATTGTAAGCGCCATCAAAGACATACGACCATTCCAGATATCACTCGAGGCGGATCCTCCAGGGGTTTTTCACCACGGGCCCAATAGCACAACTGTTTGGTTGGGTCCTACCACCCAGAGTGTCCAACAGCTTCACGCGGCCCTGCAGAAAGAATTCCCCGAAGTAAACGCAGACCGACGGCCTTTTACGCCTCACCTTTCTGTGGGGCAAGCGAAGAGCCAGGTTCGCGTGGAAAAGCTCAAGATGTTGACCACAAAAACAGTGATGGATCACACATTGCTCACAAGTGGGTTACTAGAGAAACCAGTGTTTGCCCACCTCGAAGAAGCCATACCTATAGCTCTAAATTGGGACGTTGAGTATGTATACGTCATTGAACGCCATGGCAGCAAAGATCGTTTCAAGGTAGTTGAGGCTATCAAATTGGCCGAAAGATAGTATCACGTCGTTGTAGGGAATAATCGAGCACCTCCCACTAGGCAGCCATTCAAGGGCGTTCGATTCTGCCCTTCAATCAAGTGGCGTAGTTCGCGGAACTAGTTCTTGGCAAAGAAGTCTTTGATCTCCGCATCAAGCCATTTTGCATCTTCCGTGGATTGACCTGGCCCACCAGCCCTGTGTCGATGGTCAGCTCCAAGCACGCGTTCATTCTGGGGAAAGGGACATACCAGTGGCCCCATATAGAGGGGAATATCTTCAGTGTTCCAACGCCCGGCTTCATATTCTGGACCTCAATCTCAGAATCTTCTGGTGGGAAGTAAAGATCCGTCTTCGCTGGCAGGACTAGTGTCTTCGCCTTGATACCGTTCATCGCTTTCTCAAAGTCGCCATCGTACGGCTCTTGTTGCGAGCAATCAGCAGCCTGCCATGTATGCGCCATGACTAGCATATTCTCTGGGTCCTTGGAAAGCGCCCAAGCTTCCCAGAAGTTGACAAGAAAGTCGTCCAGATTCTTGAACCCGAGCGTAGGTGCGGTCTCGTATAGTTTCTCACGATAGAATGCTTGAGAGAAGCCCCAGCCGGCGTACACGCGTCCAAGAGCCTTCAATCCAGCTTCTCGGGTTTCGGATGAGAAAGTCATGTTCTTTCCCTGAGCAGTTTGTAGATCTGGCTTTGCGACACCTGCGGAGCTTGTCCCTAGAGCGGCGTACAAGGCGCTCTTGACACCTTCTAGGAAAACCTGGTTATGCAGGCTCGTTTTTGCGCTCCCACAGAATGGTACTGCAAGATCCATGAAGTCAGGAAACTGCGTCGCCCATTGATACGTCTGTCCCGCGCCCATGGACCAACCAAGAACAGCACGAGCATGCTTCACGCCCAGATGTTTAGTAACAAGCTCATGCTGCGCTCGTATGTTGTCGTAAAATAGCACTTCTGGAAATGGGCGGAGATCTGGCATATTTGATGGCGACGACGACTGGCCATTGCCGAACAATGCAGGCATGATGATGTAGTACTGGGAAGGGTTAAGTGTCTTGTCCGAGCCTGTAAGCCAGATATTGTCGGATATCGCTATACGGTGGAATCAGCAGCGTTCCAACTAAGCTCCAATTGAACTGCACATACTCCCAGAATACCATGTTGGGTATATGACAGCCGGAAGCGATGGGTCTCCTAGCGTCTTGTAGGCGATAAACGCATCTGGTATCTCTCCACCAGACTTGAGCTTGAAGTTCCCAAGCTTATAGATTTGGTAATCATCACCCGAGGACATTGTGTTTGGAATATGTTCAGAGGATGGAATTGTAGACAGCTATGGACAGCAGAAGTCAAACGTCAGACAGATTATCGTGCACGGTCGCGCAGCATATCTATAAGCTTCCTTCTCACCTCTTCCAGCTTCCGTGATAGGACTGCCACTTAGCACTGGTGTCGTTATCGTTGATGGCGGGGTAGCTGGAAGGTATGGTGGGGTACATGACGTTACCAATCACGGTCATTGCTGGAAACCGCCGAGTGTAACCGTGGAGATGACAACAGTTAAACGTTCCATACGGGCCAAGAACATACGTCTGTTAATAGCTTCAGTTCACACAGCAGTTTCTGAATCCCTGCAGTCATCGCAAGAAGTTTACGATGGGGGCCTGAAAAGTCTCGGTACACTTCCGCGGCTATCCTCATGTCTCTATGCAGGCTCGGAATTATATCCGCCAATTGCCGTAGAGCACCTTTCTTGCGCGATTGATCATCCTTGACTAAACAGCAGCTACAATGTCGACGTATAAGAACATCATTCCCGTGATCACTAGTAGAGCCAAGCTCAGCCACCAAATCCGCAGAACCATCGCAACGTCCCATCACAAGTTTTTGCTACGCCCCTCTTCCACAATGGCATCTGGACGAGCAGACGCCGAAAAGGAAATCAAACGCAATCCTCACGGCGACTTCAAAGCTGTCGAAGCCTCCCGCCCACCCTTTGACGCAACATCATCGTTCCACTACACGCAAACCCCAAAGCCCGACTGGAAAACCGGATCTGGTCCCAATGAGCCCTCCAGTTTGGAAAAGTCACACCGTTCTATCAACCCTTATGAGGAAGGCAGACCTGTAGTACACAACTACAAGCTACTCATTTCCGCGATTGTACCCCGCCCCATTGGTTTCGTCTCAACAATCAGTGCAGATGGGAAATCCACAAACCTTGCTCCGTTCAGCTACTTTAACCTCGTAAACCATGATCCACCAATGTTCGTTTTGGGATTTGCCGGTGGGATGGATAAAGCGAAGGATACACTAAAGAATCTCATTGAGACCAAGGAGGCTGTCATCAACATCATCACTGAGGAGTACATCGAAGCGGCCAACTATACGAGTATAAACGCGCCAGTCGGTGTGAGTGAGTGGGCGTTCAGTGGGTTGCATGCGGAGAAGAGCAAGTATGTTAAGCCTGATCGCGTGAAAGAGGCCGTGTTCAGTATTGAAGGAAAGCTTGTTGATACGGTGGAATGGACAAGCAAGAATCCTGCTACGCCTGACAAAAAGACGGGTGTTACAGCGTTTGTGGAAGGGGTGAACTTTTGGGTTAGGGAAGATGCTATTGATGAGCAGGGCGTGCTTGTTGATCCTGCTGTGCTTAAGCCGGTCTCTAGGCTGGGTGGAATTACGTATGCGAGAGTGACCCAGGCGTTCGAGCTCCCGAGACCGGATTATGAGGAAGTCACCAAAGATCCCGAGGTTGCGAAGCTGGCGCAGCCGAAGGGTGAGAGTCAACTGTAGTAGGGCTAAGGTCTGCTTGGTATTTGTTGACTTCTTCTACGGTCTCTGAGCAAACGAGATATTGATGGAATAGATGCAGAAGATAGACGGCGAACAATAGATGCGAATTTGTGAAGAACATGCCTTTCATTTCGGGATCCAGGCGTCTAAAGAAAAGAATTCGAGGTATCATACTAAAACTCAACTACAAACATGGGCATCATGCTTCCTCTTAACCAAACCACATCCCAGCAAAGGGCAGCCAATAGAAGGTGTAACAGCATACTCTATAAAGCCCAATCTTACCCATCACCCTTGCGCAATTCACCCCGACGTTCACAGAGCCATGACACCCGCAAAGGCCGCAGCAACACCGGCACCCATCATGCCGACCATGTTACCCATAGCCGCACCAGTCTCACTTGGGCCCGAGCTCGCACTGGCACCCGTCGCACCACCCGATCCCGACCTGGTTGTAGACGCAGTAGTGCCGTTCTCGCCTAGAATAGCCTGGTTGACCAGCCTCTGAACTTCGGCGTTGTAGCTGTCGTAGTAGCTCTTGATGTCGCTCGGGAGCGCACTGTACCACGCTGGTGTCTCGGAGAAAGTCTCAAGCGCACCGACTTTGGTAACTTCGCTGGGAATGGAGTATGAGGCTGTAGCGACAAAGGATGCGAGACCCTTGTGGGCAGATGCTGCAGCAGAGAGAGCGGAGCCTTGGGTGAGGGATGCGAGGCCCATTGAGACTTCGTTGAGGACTGAGGAGGCGTAGCCGTCGGCCTGAATAAATAGGTTAGCTTTAGAGATTTGAGAAAGAGGACGCGTAGATCGGGGAACGTACGTTTGTGAGAACCTCGCCCAGATTGGTGGGAATAGGTGTGGTGATAATAGCGAACTCAGCGACGGCAGTGCCAGCGGCAGCGAGGATTGCGAGATTCTTGAACTGCATTTTTACGGTATTGTGAATTGATTCAACGCGTAGTGGGTGATTTCTAGAGAAATGACGTCCGAAGTCAAAGTGGACTGAAGGATACAGAAAAAGCGAATGATTGACACGAGGCAAAAGCGAGAAGGTAGGAGTGAGCAAGCGCGTGGGAGAGCAGCTGGCCTCCACTTATGTATACTTCAATATTGTGCATCAACACAGAACACGAATGCTCCGCCACGAAACTCGGTTCCCGAGCATGGGTAATCATGTCAGCCCGTCATCTTGCCGTTGCGCTGTCTTGGATCGTATTTCTTTTAAAAGTAGCGCGACCGTTGAGAAGGGCTTACTAGTACAGTAATCTAGAAATCTGTTCAACGTCTCCATGATCAGCAGTTCCACGCAAACCATCAATCGGGACCCACATCCAAGATCAACGACACGCGTTCGATGCGCAAACTGCGAAGAGGCAATCTGAGGGGTTTCGGATGATATTCAGGGGCGGTGTCTTGGGGGCCATGGGGGTGTGCGGCGTTAGCTTCGTTTAGAGTGGATTGCATTAGCGGCTGTTTTGTCCAGAACAAGCTTCCTTGCTGACGGCCAGGCCTCCCACCATGTCCATAAATACTCGGCACGCAATTGTACAGCCTCAGGATCCGAATCGGGGATCCCTAAACCCGCCTACTCCACTTCTCTTACAGCAGTGGTGGTCATGATGCCTTCACCGCTGTTCTTCTTTCCCGTGGTCTCACGTTCCTCGCTGGAAGCAATACTCTCGACTTGCGCATGCTGAGAGGGGGCCGTCTTTCCCTCTTTCCAGCCTAGAAAAGCGAAGCCAATAATAACCACTAGCCAGTAAAGATTGTATGAAATGACGGACCCGTACGTTGCGCTGTTCTGCCAGCCAAAGAGCGAGTTGAAGATACCCCAACTGAGACGAAATCGTTAGCGATAAGACTCAACCAGACTGAGACATTTACTCACCCGCCGTCACCATTCTCCAGTGGCGAACAACACTGTCGTAGCAGTCAGCACACAAACCCAGAAGACCAGTAATGACCAAAACTTACGTTGACGTGCCAAACACTCTTCCTGATGTCGTAGCTACCCGGCCCTGCACCTGCTTCTGCTGCACCTTCTCCAGCAAGCTTGACCCAAGCATTCTGTTCAAGATTCCAGACACCTTTGGAGAACAGGCCGGCCGCTACGAGGTAAAGGAAGCATGTGGAGATGACGAGGAAGATCTGCAGAGAGGTTTTGTTGCCACCCTTGTAGATGAGAAATCCGACCAAGGCACCTGCACCAAGACCACAAATGACGGCGAGAGGAAAGCTGGTCGCCGGTGCGCCCAGTCCGACACCTGCAATAAACCTGGTTGACTACTTAGCATCTACTATTCAGGGTGAACAGAAGTACTTACAATACTGCCTCAATACCCTCGCGGAGCACAGTAACGAAGGGCAGAATGAACATGGCGTACTTTTCAGTCCATCGCTTTAGTCTGCCCTTGATGGGTAGTTTCGAGTCCTTTTGTTCGAGGACCTTGGAAATCTTCACACGCCACTTATCCTGCAGCTTGCTAACACGGAGTAGGGCAGCTCCCATTAGAGTGATGATGACGCTTGCAAGAATCGCGAAAGCGCCCTCCCAAATGTTTTCTGCCTTGTCGAAGGTATTGCGTCCAGCCGTGTAGAAAGTACCAATGACTCCAGCACAGATGACTAGACAGATCAGAATACCCGCGCCGACACCGTACCAGACCTGTCGAACAAGTCGCTTGTGAACAATAGCATCATGTTCAGGGCCAAGAGTTTGCTTGAGGAACGCGAGAAGCACGGAGACGATAATGCTCGTTTCCAGACACTCTCGGAAGCAGATGAAGAAAACTTGGTTGAAGTTAGACAAAGACGGTGTTACTCATGTTACGAAGTCAATGATGACGGTTCTTGCAGACGCACCTGGCACAGCAAAGACGTTTGGCATCTTGAACAGACTACCAGATTTGCTGAATCTGTTGTTTCCGCTGGAGTATAGATAAAGGACAAAGGAGGGGATCTAATCAGATGAAGGGACATGCAGAGACTCCCGAAGAAGAGGGTGTGCTAACATGTGCCTACCGTTCGTATAGATGGCGCTAGACAACAGCCGAAAGTCGGGCATGCACGACGACCCTGCTTGTGAATTTGAGTTTACCTCCCGATATCACGACGGACCGATCATGCTTCAGGATAGCTGTGTTGCTGCCGCCGCATCAATAAGATATGTAGTCGGGTTCTTCTGGCGTTGATGTCATTGGACGAATGCGACAATTCCACGTTCCATCATAACTGAACCCATGAACAAAAGGACTTTCAGTACACATTCTGTAGAGCCCAACTCCTCTGCATGAGCGATTATCCTCTCCGCACGCCCAGCGCGCCTAATCAGATTAAGACTCTGTAGCGCAGGCTAGTGCGGGCTTGTTGGTCCTTCGGCGCCATCGCTTACCCCAATACCTGGGTCGATCATGGTCCAGATTATCAGATGGACCGATAATCGCCGGTGAATGTCACTCCACACAGCAAATCAAGGTAGAGGAGCTCGCTTGCCGCTGCCTTGAGACAGGAAAATTCTACATGATGCAGGGACGATTGCACAAGTCAACCCCTCCTGAGCCTAGTTCATGAGGAGAAAACACATATGCCCCACTTTGCGACACTTTGTGGCCGCCTCCAGCCCCCGTCGAGAACATGAGCTGATGATCTGATAAGTCGGCTCCGAACATGATGGCTTGAGGAGGTGGGGGTCGGAATACTTAGGTCGTCTTATCTGATCTCCGCACGTCGCATCTTACCTCATGTGTTTGACGAGTGCATTCTTGCATCGGCACTAACTTGAATGGTAGCACGAGAGCTTCCTAGGTTCAGTCGTACTCCAAGCAGCTTGATCACCCGTAACAGGATCCGAAAAATTCCAGTCTCCAGTACTCTCCTCGCACGCCATCATGGCAATCTCACTATCAAACTTTCTCCTCCCACTCTCACTACTAATATCAATCACATCCTGTGCGACTGTCACGCATGACTTCGACATAGGATGGGTCCACGCGAATCCCGACGGCCAGCAAACACGACCAGTCATTGGCATCAACGGACAATGGCCTCTGCCACCTATAGTCGTCACGAAAGGTGACCAAGTCATTGTCAATGTCAAGAACTCCTTGGGGAATGAGTCTACGAGTCTGCATTTCCACGGCTTGTACATGAATGGTACTACGCACATGGATGGTCCAGTAGCTGTTTCACAGTGTGGGATCCCCCCAGGTAGCTCTTTTACCTACAACTTTACTGTGAGTTTAGCAATGTTCGAGGGAAAGTGGTCCCAATTTCTTACTAGTACAGGTCAACCAACCGGGCACATATTGGTATCACAGCCATGAGCGCGGCCAATATCCAGATGGTATTCGAGGTCCTTTTATTGTACATGATCCTGAAGATCCATACAAAGATCTCTACGACGAAGAAGTTGTCATAACGCTTTCTGATTGGTATCATGATCTTATGCACAACCTTCTCGCAGAATTCATCAACATCGCCAATCCTTCGGGCGCAGAACCCGTACCTCAAGCAGCACTGTTGAACGACACCCAGAATTTGACTGTCAGCATAGAGCCTGGAAAAACATATCTCTTCCGGATGGTCAATATGGGCGCTTTCGCTGCGCAGTACGTTTGGTTCGAAGACCATACCATGCGCATTGTTGAAGTCGACGGCGTGTACACCGAACCGACGGACGCAGAGATGATTTATATCACCGCGGCGCAACGATATAGCGTCCTTGTCACCGCTAAGAATGATACCAACTCCAACTTTGCTTTTGTCGGAAGCATGGATCAGGACCTGTTCGACGCTGTACCAGAAGGTCTGAATCCAAATGTCACGGGCTGGCTTGTGTACGACAATAGCAAAGAGCTACCAACACCAAAGGCGGTCGAGGCATTCGAACCCTTTGATGATTTTGCTCTGGTGCCGTACGATAAGGAGGGACTGTTTGACCATGTTGATCGGTCAATTACTCTAGACTTGAAGATGGACAACTTGGATGATGGGGCGAATTAGTGAGTTTTCCAAATCTGCAATGCACACTATGTTCTTTGATGATAGTACAGGGCTAATCCAATCCAGCGCTTTCTTCAACGATGTTACCTACGTCAGCCCCAAAGTACCCACGTTATACACCGTCCTGTCCACTGGTCCCAACGCTACAGACCCGACCATCTACGGCAGTAACACAAACGCCTTTGTACTTGCTCAGAACGAAGTCGTGGAGATTGTGCTGAACAACAACGATCCTGGGAAACACCCTTTCCATCTCCATGGCCACGTCTTCCAAGTGGTAACCCGCAGTGCCGATGACGCAGGTTTCTACGACCCAGGCAATGCTCCAGACCCACATCCAACACCCATGCGACGCGATACTATTCTCGTTCGACCAAACGGACATATTGTGCTGCGGTTTCGATCTGATAATCCTGGTAAGTCAACCTTCGAGTATGGAGACATGCGTTCCCGTGCCAGTATAGGTGGGGTGGCTGGTTGGTAGATGACTGGAGACTGACATGAGTTATAGGTGTATGGCTGTTTCACTGTCACATAGAATGGCATGTAGCTTCTGGATTGACCGCCACAATGATTGAAGCACCGCTTGCCATTCAGGACCAGCTCTCCTCTTCCTCGTCAAACAACTCCATCCCACAATCACACTGGGACGTTTGCGAAGCTGGCCGCATACCCACACGCGGCAACGCAGCGGGAAATACAGTTGACTACTCAGATCTTACGGGTGAGAACAAGAGTCCAGGAAGATTACCAGAAGGTTTCACAGCGAGAGGTATTGTGGCGTTGGTGTTTAGTTGTTTGAGTGCTTTTATGGGGATGGGCGTCATTGGCTGGTATGGCATGAGACCTATCAGCGGGTGATGAGTGAGGAAGATGCAGAGAGAGAGAAGGGTGGGTGGAGCTCGATGTGTATGGGAGTAATGATACCAATGTAGAGTACAAAGGAAGCCAATAATATTTTCTGCCAGATCTACGACACGTTTTTGCTGTTCACTGTGGAGTCCATCGGCTTTCATACAGCCAAAATTCTCGAATCTTACAGCCAGCCCAGCGAATGCCCTTCCTCCCAATAGTAACTCCACATATCCGTTCCCGTAAAATCATCGGCATAACTCCTGCCCTTTGTCTTCCCAGCCGCACCCGCACAAACTACCAATGGCAAAAAGTGTTCTGCTCCACCTCTGGGGTGCATAGTGTAAGCCCCCGGCCACTTCCTCCAATGCTCAAACTTGGTTTCCCTCTCCTGGTCGCTCTCTGTCATGGCAGCATCGGTAACGGCCTTACTCCACTCCTTGTTCAGAGCTTTGAACTCAGGGTTTCGCGATGTGCCATCAAACATGAGACGTAGGTTGTGAAAGGTAGCGAAGCCGCTCCCGATGATGGCGATGTTTTGGGCGCGGAGGGTGGAGAGGGCGCGACCGATGGCATAGGACTGTGTGGGGGATTCGGAGGAGAGGACTGAGAGTTGGACTATGGTAGTGGTGGCCGAAGGGTCAATGAGTTTCATGGGAACGAAGACGCCGTGGTCCCATGCTTTAACAGTATATTAGTATGTGCTAAGCCGAAGGGACCTGAGAGGACATACGTCTTTTGGCATCTTTCTCACACTCGATACCGGCTTCCTTCAGGGCTTGCGCTACCTGTTCAGCGACCTCAGGACTTCCTGGCGCATCATGCTTTATCTTGTACGACTCTGGTGGGAAGCCGTAGTAGTCGTACAACAACTCATGCTTGGAGCCGCTGGAGACAGTGACCTTGCTTGTACTCCAATGCGCAGTCACCAGAACGATAGCTTTCGGGGCTTCAGATGTTCCCAGCTTGAGTATCTTGGGCACCTTTGTCTTGAGCGACTTGGTGATGGCGGCGTGCGATGGGTCTCCGAGCAAAGGCATGGGACCTCCGCCGTGCGAGAGCGAGATGACAGGTGCGAGGCGTGTCATGTTGCCGCTGTAGGACGATATTGGAAACTGTTGAATGCCTTGGAGGGGATTGAAGGTCGTGTTGCTGGACGAGAGCTCCGCGGAAGTTGTTCGTTGGAGGCCGAAGAATGTTGCGAGGAACGATGAGGTACGAACGATTTTCATATTCTTGGCTGCGGTAGAGACCGGACGCAGTATATATGCATGCTGTAAAGGAGAGAGCGCCTTGTGGCGCTCGGCATTTGTATTGTTAAGGCATGACTCCGGTGTGTAAGTGGCATGTTGGACGGTTTGTAAGATGTGGTTTGAGAGCGCGGAATTGTGCCGACGAGGCCTCGCGGCGTGTCGGCTTGCGGCTTCCCGATCACGTGGGAACGCGACGACGTGTTCCAGCATCCGAGGTTCTACGCATTTTGAAATGTTCAAGCTTGCATTTTGTCGAGAAGCACACTTGGTAGGCTGTACAGTCGCGAATCCATTCACAGAGTGTATGATGCAGCAGTCATATCACATTAAGAGTGTACGTGAGCAGAGTGTATTATCGTTGATTCGACCACGTGAAGTGCATGTCATGATCAACGTAAGTTCTAAGAGCCATCATAGCCTCAACCAGGGGTATCATATCATCCCATGCCATATCATCCAGGAACTCCTTGCGCCGAGCGACAGAACATCATATACCTAGAGGACATACGGTGCTTTCATGCGTGCAACGAAGAAACATCCCCCGTTGAGGTATGAATACAGCCAGCGATCAGGAACGTCTCAGATGTCGTCTTCAGCCTCGCCGCCTAAGTCACAGTCAGCCGTGTCCAGCAATGTCTCAATCTTTTGTTGAAATAAAACTTACAAGGACCATCACCGCCATCAGCGGAGTTCTCGACAGAATTGTCTTTGACTTCTTCCTCGGATGCCGATTCCTCTTTCTTAACAGCTTTTTTGGGACGTCCTTTAGCCTTGGCTGGCTCCTTCTTCTGATCTGGGGTTTTCCTTCCTTTCTTGGCAGCCGGGACCTTCTTCTTCTTGGAGTCTGACTTGTCGCCCTCAGATTTTTCGGTGGCAGAGGGAGGATCAAGGTCTTTGGCGCTATCTTCGGCATCCTCGGGGGCCTCATCGGTTGCTTTGCGCTTCTTGACGACCTTGACAGGAGCTTGGGGCTTGGGCCTAGGCTCTCCACCAGCAGGAGCTGCGGAAGCAGCGACACCAGCCTGTCCAAGGAAGGCGGCGAACGAAGCATGGCCCTCAGCAGCCTTCTTCTTTACCGGCGGCCCTAAGCGATGGAAAATGATGTTAGTATAGATTTGAAGTGCAGGTTGACAAGAAAGAGCCCGTTTTGTCTGGGTCGTATTCCTAGACACGTAGACATTCCCTGAAGGTATACACCGGTTTCTACGTTGCACCTCCAGCTACAACGTGGCCGGGTGTACCTCGAGGGTAACTCTGACTGGAGAACACTTTGAGTAGTGTCATTAATGAAAGGTTACGTACACATCTTCTTGAGAGAGCCAGCAGTGTTGCCGGTCAACGTAGCCATAATGTCATAGTCAAATTTATCTGGAGCAGTGGAACTGACAAAGGCAGCAGCCAAGAGCTTGGTCTCCTTGTTTGTGAAGCCTACCAAAAGGGCGTCGGACTCTCCGGCAGCGGCGTCCTTCTTAGGCGGCATTGTGAAGATGTAGTCGTTAGGTGTAGAAGATAAGAAAGAAGTCGTGAAGCTGCAAATGCGGACAGAAGAAATCGGTGACTCTGAGTAGAAGGAGAGAAAAAGGAAGCTGTTGTGAGGCAACGGAAGCGGGGTCGTTATGTTTGGAAAACGACGCAGTGAAGTCGAAATTCGTGCACGCGGTCAACGGGAGATTGCACCTGGACTGCCATATCCGGATTCCAGCGCTCTGATTCGCCGAAGCATCGTCCTCATTCTGCTCTCACCTGTTCGAGGTGAGAATGAACTGCGTCCTTCGCTCCGCATAGTGATGTCCCAATGCGGAAGTCCCATCCAAGGAGTAGTTCAGGACGTGTGCTTACACGAAACAGTAGTATCTTTGAGTAATAGCCGTGAACATTGAGACTTACGCTGAAGGTATTCATGAACATCTATATTATCAACTTGAGAGAAAAGCCACAGCGTACACCTTTAGTGTACTTGTTCTTCAGTACGGTGCAATTCAAACAACGAGGTTTTCCGTATTGCGGCTCGAAAAATAGGGTATACTTTTATGACTGAACTTTTAACATAGTTGTGACATCCTATGCTGGAGATTATGAATGAGGAAAACATGGCGAGAAAGTATTAATCGCCTCAGAATGTACAGAAAATCGATGTATAGAATCAGTGACATGGCGTGTTAAGGAAACATGTTCACGAATGTGCTTTCGCCGCGTGTACTCTGATATCATCCCGGGTGACATTGCTGTTGGTCATGGATATATGGAACAAAACGTACCGAAGCGGAGCAAGAAGGTTGCTCGTATTGGAATAGCAACGGGATATCCTTCCGAGCCGGGCGAAGTACAGGGTGACGGAAGGCAATATCGACAATCAAGTTACGGACCGACCTACTTATCACATTGTCGGGGTTCGCGATGCAGGCATGATACGATGTAGCGTCTGGGGCCCCACCTTCCGATGCAGCACACGAATAGGCAGCGTTGGCGCGAGCTGCAAGCGTCCAGACGACGTTGTCAAGGTGCCGAGTCGACGTGTTCACGTCTCGGTGCGGCGCAATTGAGGTTGAGCAAGTCGGCGAGGAAGAGGCATAATCAGTTATGATAGGAGATAGAGTTGCTGCGGGGTGCCTGGCAGCAGCACTACCGTGGCGCTCGTAACGCAGGGCACTGCATGATGCAGTATACAGTGGGATGGTGGCTGGGGTAATGACAGGAGGAAGCAATATGCGCAGCCAGCCGTCTGGGCAGCTGGATTGCTGGGAACGCTAAGGAATATGGCCGACGGGCCCTGGGCAGCGGTCAGAGAGGCAGGACGGGAAGACGAGGTCTAGACGAAGCGGAGGAAGCGGTTGGAGCGGTATGCAGCAGCAGTCGGGAAGCCGGTGGCACTGCGTCGTCGAGTCTCGATGTCGAGCAAGTGGAGGCACCTCCGGTCAGTGCAGGCGGTGCATGTCTAGGGCCAAGTAGTGCTCAGAGCGGTAAACGGGCATGCCGCAGCCTGTGTGGCAGTTCTGGCGTCTAATGGCCGCGCTGGGGGAGGAACTGGCTGCAGTGCACGACGGTTTCGGCTCGAATGCGCGTCTAGACAGGAGGATCTGCGACCAGCGTTGAGCGGGCCGTGCCAGGTACAGGCGCAATTTTTGTGCTCAGTGTCTCGCAGTGCTCGCGTACTCGACGACGGGACCGTCGACACTAGCTTTCCAATTTCTATATTTCCTACTTGGTTGCTATTTCCGTCGCTCCCTGAGCTGCTTTCTTTTTTGTATAACACGCCTCCTCGCACCTGCCAAACGCCTCCTCCGCTCCTTCCTCCGTCGCCAGCTCTGCCCCTCACCATCCCCGCGAAGAGACGTCCGCCAAACGAGACGACACTGCCGATCTTCTGCAGCTCCTTCACACGCGCTGAAGATACATCGGCCCTTTTCAACCACACAAGCCAAAATCCGGCTTTCGTCCCTCAACCGTTAACGATCGCCGTCATGTCTTCCCACCCGAGTCTCACCAGCACGTACCGTGCGCGCGCCTCCCTCCCCACGACTGGACCCCTGGCCTCGTACCTGCTGAGCCTGATATCCGTCAAGCAGACCAACCTCTGCCTCTCCGCCGATGTCGAGACGTCAGCCGAACTCCTACAACTGGCAGAAGATGTCGGTGACTCAATCTGCCTGCTCAAGACGCACTGCGACATTGTCACCGACTGGTCCGACAGGACAGCCCAGGCACTGAGGGAAATTGCAAAGCGCAAGTGGTTCCTCATCTTCGAAGACCGAAAGTTTGCGGATATTGGTGGTATGTCACGCTGGAGCCTGTAGTTCCTACCGGGCAATTGTCCCTAATGCACCCGTAGAAACCGTACAGAAGCAGTACACTTCTGGACACCACCGAATCGCACTCTGGGCCGAGATCACCAACGCCCACGTCATCCCCGGCCCAGCCATCGTCACCGCGCTCGAGAAAGCTGCCGAAGCGACCATTGCCAAGTACAACACATCCGTAAACACCGAGATTTCTGCCACGCGACAATCCAATGGCGCCGACGATGACGATGAAGAAGAAGAGCCTGTGGCACGCGATTCGGCAATCGAGTCGCCAATTGAGATGGAGGGCGAAGAGAGACGGCTGAGCATCAAGGCTGCCGACCGGAAGCACAGCGTTGTGAGCGTGACAACTTCGATATCCATGCGGACGGAGAGCATATCGCCCCGTCCAGAGCCCAACGCCAACGGCGAAGAAGTCTTCAACCTAGACGTAGCTACCGAGCTCGTTCGTCTTGGCCCACCACCCTTCCTCCGCTCCCTCCTGTTGCTTGCGGAGATGAGCTCCGAAGGCCACCTTATGACACCAGAATACCAAAAGAGGACTGTCGAGATCGCTCGAAGCCGTCGCGAGTTCGTCATGGGCTTCATTGCTCAGCGCAGCTTGAACACTGAGCCAGAGGACAACTTCATCACCATGACACCGGGCTGCCAGCTTCCGCCGCCGGGTCAGGAAGGCAAGAAGCTGGGCGACGCTTTAGGCCAGCAATACAACACTCCTCGCAAGTTGATCTTCGAGCAAGGCTGCGACGTCATCATCGTCGGACGAGGCATCGTGCGCGCTCAAGATCGCAAGTCAGAAGCAGAGAGATACCGAAAGGCCGCCTGGTCAGCCTACGAGGAGAGGATCAAGAAGGCATAGACGACTCGTCTATGAGGCCTACAATAGTCGATTTATACCCTTGCAACTTGCAGTTCCAATATTCTGCCTGCGGCATTCGTGCACTCTGGTGCAAATCCAAATACAACATTATCAGATGAAGGTCATATATGGCGTTGGATATCTTTTCACATGACATGAAAACACATACTATGGCGTTGCGATATGCTGGTCGACGAGTTATGATAATGCCAAATGACCGTAGACGGATGCAGGTTTACGATATGATTAGTACCACCATGAGATATTCATTGCCTTGGAAAACATACAAAACCAAAGATTTTTTGCAATCCCTCACCTAAATGAAAGTGGAGTAGAAAGCATGTCTGGACCAGGTCAAAGTCGCGTGTGGTCAGGGCTCGCGGAAATGTGTGGGGAAATAGTCGGAGCTCGGTCTTAACGCCAAAAAGTTCGCGACTCTTTCGTCGCATGCGACAGCTTCCATGTCACTCTACTACGAAGCCGCGGCGCTCCTCGCAAACACAGAGAATACCGGTGGATCTCTGAAGTCGCGGATATACAACAAAAAAGACTTGAAGAGCACACCAGGCCAATTGTTTGCCCTCATTGCGGAAACGTCAAAATGGTCCATCGTGCTCAAAGATGTGATTGAAAAGACAAGATTGCTTGCAGAGGAGCGGAAGGTAGCTTATCGTCAAACATGTTGAATTGCGCTCATTCACTGACCATGTCTTGTACAGCTTACCCCAATACTTGCTCTTCTTCTTACACACGACCTGCTGCTTGCGAAGAACGGCGTTGCTGCAGCCACCAACCATGTCCTTAAACTCGCAATAACTCGACACAAAGCCCGCCTAAGCGCTGAACTCACCAAAGCCCGCATACGATACGGATACGCGACTATAGAGGCTTTCAGAGAGGCTGTGAACGACGGCGAGCTTGACAAGGACGACAGCGATGCGCCCAAGAGTCGGCACCCACGGTGGGTACGCGTCAACACTGTAAAGACGACGTTACAGCAACAGCTTTCAACAACATTTGCCGGGTTTGTGAAGACGAACGATCTGAGCGAAGTGCTATCTGCGCCTAAGAAGTCGAAAATATACTACGAAGACCCGAACATACCAAACCTACTTGCCCTACCGTCCAAGATCGACCTGAGCAGGTCGATCGCGTATACCAAGGGTCAGATCATATTCCAGGATAAAGCTTCATGCTTTCCTGCCTATCTGTTAAATCCGCAGCCGGACGATGGCGATGTTATCGACGCGACAGCGGCACCAGGAAATAAGACAACGCACCTAGCGGCTATCGTATCTGACAGGAGACAACCCGGTAACGAACAAAAGGTCATAGCATTCGAACGCGACAAGGGCAGGTCTTTCACTTTGCAGAAGATGGTCAAGCTCGCGTCAGCGGACAGTATTGTTCAGGTCAAAGGCAGTAGTGATTTCATCGCTGCGAAGCCTGGGGCTGACGAGTACGCCAATGTGGGTGCTATATTACTCGATCCAAGCTGTTCTGGTACCGGTATAGTTGGGCGAGACGACGCTATCAAAATGCACCTACCAGAAGCGCCGAACAGCCGACCAGTGGCGCCAAAGCCCGAGAAGAAAGATAAGAAGCGAAAACGAGATGATGAAGCAAGCAAGGCTGAGGCTTCAGCAACCCTTGACTTGGACATGGATGACTCAACCCCTGAAGAGACAGACACATCAATGCAGGGCAAGCTCTCTGAGCGGCTGGCAGCTCTATCATCTTTCCAGCTCCACATCCTCACCCATGCTATGCGATTTGCGAGCGCACATAAAATCACCTACTCGACCTGTTCAATTCATTTCGAAGAAAACGAGGGCGTTGTCTTCCAGGCATTAGCATCTTCTATTGCAAAAGAACGGGGATGGTCAATTCTGAAGCGCGATGCTCAGGTCGAGGGAATGAAGAAGTGGCATAGACGAGGTGTTTGGGAGGACGAGAAGCTAGAAGTTGATGTAGATGAATCCTCGAAGAGTGATGTGCTAGAAGCTTGTATTCGATGCGACAAGGGCACGGAAGAAGGTACGATGGGTTTCTTCGTTGCTGCCTTTGTTCGAGATGGTAGCGAGGACCCGACACGAATTACTGATGCTGTGATTGCCGGAGATGAGGAATGGAATGGGTTTAGTGGTGATGAAAAGGTTGAAGAGAAAGTAGAGCCTGTAGAGACAGGGACAGTGCAAGGGTCGGAAAAGAGGAAGAAGAAGAAGCGCAAACACTGAGGAATGAAATCCGATAGCGTAGCCTACCCAGGCAGTCGTTAAAAACTCAGGGAAAGAGCAGCTTGTGTTGTGACTCTCAGATGAATAGTATACTAGGGCCTTGAACAATTACCCACAACTTCTTCTCATTGCGCTATTCAATAGAGCAGTCTTACCTATTTTTCCTTTTGCCAAACTCTCCACACGCAGTCGATGCAACACAATCCTGTACACTGATTTCGCTGATCCATCATGACGCAAACCGTCCGTGACAGCCTGTCCAGTCCGCGAACTGTGTCTACTGCTACCATCCCAATCACGCCTCCAGCGCAACCCGATCTCTCCCGTCCAAGATTGAAACACATAGCGAGATGGATCCGCGATGAGCTGGACTTGCGTGTCGCTCGGGATGGTCCCAACGTCCTTCATCCGGACGATGTGTTGACTCTCCACGAGACCCTTGTCGCTCTCCAACATGCACAAAACATGACGATTTCCGTCTTACGAGCGACCGGAATACACAAAGCTGTTCAAGACATTGCAGGCGTGGCGACGCGATGGCCCAGCAGATTATGCGACGACTGCGACAAGATAATCGACATATGGACCGCGAAATTTGGGCCGTTCAGTGAAATACATCCGTTTTTATACGGGAGAGGAGGACGCCTCGAAGGGGTTGCGAGTATACATGAGTACTCCCAGGAGGTATGCAATGGAGGCATACACCATCTTCGACACTGAACTGATGGTTGTCGGCTGTAGGCATTGCTCAAGCGGTGGGCTGAAACATGTCCTGAGAAGATTCATCCCAGGCGCTCACACAGGCTGGGTGACCTGGGTTTCGTAGCTGGCCAGTACATCTACTGACGCTCCGTTCCGATAGTTGTTTATGCTGATCGTCGTTGCAGATGGTGGATCAACCCATTGTTCGCGCACCATGCTGGCATCATCGGGCTCGAAGCTTGTAACGGTGGCACGACGTACGACAAGCACGGCGCCTATGCTCTACTACTCAAGGATACAGGTGAGATCGAAGCCGCATCTGAACAGCGCTTCACCTATCGCGTACCACAAACCGACAAAGGCAAATTTCGTCTGACCTCTGCCACTCCCAAAAGCCGTGATCCTGTAAGAGTACTTCGCAGCCACAGTATCAACAGCGTTTGGGGCCCGAAGGCCGGTGTAAGATATGAAGGCTTGTATAGCGTCAAAGGATGGTCCATAAAACAAGCAAAAAGTAGTGATCTCGCCGGCGAGCAATGGAAGGAAGGCGATATCCTATTCGACGTCAAATTCGAACGTACAGACTCCGTACCTATGGATGTAGTCACCAAACGACCTACCGCAACCGAAGTAGACGACTACGCCGAATACAAGCGACTTCGCAAGGTGAACCGAGACGGAAAGCGTAAGGAACCAAGCGTGGTACCTATTAAAGATGATTTCTCGATACCCCTCAAAACTGCTCCTCCAGTGCTCCCAGCGCCTCTCCCGGTCGTCGAGGATACCTCTTTGAACTCTCGCCGCAAGGCTGTCTTCAAACATCTCCACTTCGACGAAGAAGCCCACGTCCATATGCTCGAGAAAGAAGTCATACTCTCCCCCAAATCCATTCCAAAGACCGACCCTCTTACCCTCGCAGCCACAACAGCGGGTAAAAGCAACACCCTCGCCGTCCCCGCATCACTCATCCGCACAAACACTCATCATCATCAAGGACACAGAAAACCCGATAATCCACAGAGCGAACAGCGCGGAAAAGCTAGCCCAGTTGGCTCAAATGCCAGTAGTGCACACACATCCATCAGCACATTCCCTGGAATCAACATCCACGAAGTGGCACCCTGGATCAATTATGACGTTGGACTCACAGTTCCTTCGCCAACAGAAGATGAAACCGTTGTCCATCAACGACCAATCATCACGCAGTCTATTGCTACAGAATCGATCAAGACGATTGATACCAGATCGTCTGTCAAAATGGGTGGCACATCGCGCAGCAATTCTGGGACGGTGAGACATATGGGTTTGCCAAGCGCCTCTGTCAACGAGAGTGATCGTGATGATTACTATCATGGAAACAGAAAAGATGGAAGTTTCAAGGATGGCCTTAGTCCGCACAGTACTTTGAAGAAAGACGGAAACAAACGGAAAAGTATTTTGGTCAAAGGCAGACATTCTACGGCTAAACTTTTTGACGGGGTTGTCGATGTGAAGAGAAAGAAAAAGAGGCGTGATATTGAGTCGACAGGTCTAGATGGTGGTGGTGGCAGTGTGGTGTTTAGAGATCCTTTCGAAGAAGATCGTCTTAACAGGGATCCTTTCAAAGACTTCGACTTCAGTACATAGACACATGCAACAACGTCCTATACCTAACACAAATACCATTGTTGAAATTCTTCCAAACCCGTACGTCATAGCGGATCCAGCTATCGAGTTCGCTAAGCGATGCAACCAAAAAAGTTCCAGGTCAGCGGAATACCACTAGCACGAAAGTCGCAGTCACCAGTCCCATCCAGCTATGTTGCTGCGCATTATGTGCTGCATGGTTGTCTAGTGGATGGGGCTCGTGTTCACTAATCAATAATCGTCCGTGTCCCGGTTTCTACCGAAAAGAGCCCGCACGTTGACCGGGCGCTTATACTTTGCGGGCTCTGTGGAGGCTGTGGAGGCTATGACATACCGTGGCATGGATTGTGGAGAAATCAGCATGCCGTTTTTCCCGCATCGTGACTTTTTACGTAGTTGTGCCTGGGCCAAGGATCGGGACGGCTGCGCCCGTGATCGGTATATGCAATATGCCGGAAAGAGCAACAGATTCACAAACAATGCATAGAGAGGTAACGTTGGCACAAAACTCTTTTGGAATGTTCAATGTACGGGGGTATCGAATTTGCTGATGCAGGAATGTAAAAACTCAATGACTTTACCCACTTCATTCGCTGTAATCACCGAGTAGCGAAAAGAAGAAAGTGTGCTCATCCATCTCTTCCTCCTCTCATGTCATCTTTGGTTCAATATGACTTAACGAGACGCCATGCTGGCTCTTCTCGCCTCGAGAACCGCGTCCTCATGAGTGGGAGGACCCTCGTAGTTCTTCTTTCCCCAGACAAAGTACCAGATAGTTGAGACAACAACGACGGCGGCGAGAACGACAGAGGCGTAGTTCATCGATGCTGGTGTGACGTCGCGGAAAGTAGGCATGCAGAAGAGAGGAGTGGCGAGAGCGGACCAGGCTGTTATGTTTGTTAGAAATTGGTTACCAAAAGAATCGGTCACAAAACTTACCAAGTGCAACAACGTTGCAGAAGGTACCGAGCATGCCAAGGTGGAACGCGCCGTCCTTGACTTGCTTACGACCAGTCATGAGCGAAACGAAGATGGGGGCAGCGTAACTCAGGGTCAGGCAAATGACACCGACACCGGAGAAAGCGTTGAAAGCAGCGGCAGCACCGAAGTAGATGAGACCGAGAGCGATTTGAACAACCATACTCAGCATCATGGCGTTGAGCGGAACATCGAGGTTCGTGTTGACAGTCCTCCACAGCTTGTAGCCGGGAATAGCACCGTCACGAGAGAAGGCCCAGGTAGCCCGGGAGGCAGCGGTGGTGCACCCGATACCACAGAGGAAACCGAGGACCAGCAGAGGAATGAGCAGACCAATGGCACCACCGGGGGAGCCTACAGCATCCCTGATGATAACAGGTGTCGGCTGGCCGGAAAGTAGTCCTGCAAGCATGGCTTGGTCGGGAAGTACGAAGACGAGAGGGATGAGGAAGACCAGGCCAGCAATGGTGTTCAAGGCGACGGTAGCGACCATGGCCTTGGGGACCTGGGTGGCAGGCTCACGAACCTCTTCGCACATACTGTACACTGTTAGCGTTTGGACAATCATCATTTGACATTACCGCATGTAGACACGTCAAATGTCGCGATGGAGTGTGTTGCTTGGGAGGGTCGCATAGGAAATGTCGCTTGGGAAGGTCGCTTGGGAAATTTGCATTGGGCAAAGAAAATCTGCTTCAAGTTGCTTGGGCAGAGTAGGGGAGGCTCACGAGATGATCATTCCAGTCGATGAAGTCGCGTAGGCTGCGTGTAATAGTCCGACCATGAAAGACCATCCTGGGACCCATCCGGAGTTGGAGGGATCGAATTCAGTGAAGACGTATTCGGCGCTGTGGCGTCCATTCTTCGCAATGGCAAGGATGCATACGATAATGGCAATCACACCAGCAAAGGTCCAGAAAATGGCAAAGGTCTAATCGTCTGTAAGTAACACATCCAGTAGTCGCTTGGGGGGTTTCTCACATCCAACCATGGTAGGTATTTGTTTCCAAAGGCAGACACAGCGTTGCAAATGAGTGTGATGCCAAGGAAGATGAGGAAGACCTGATAAGCTGATCCTTCCATGATACCAACACCAGGTTCGCTTTCGTAGACATTGACGCATGCCACAAGGAAGAGCGCGGTAGCAAAGTTGACTGAGAGAGTAATGGTAATGTTGCCAACTACGAAACACCAACCACAGATCCACGAGGCGATTTTCCGATAGGCGGGCGGCGTGATCATGAAGGTCTGGTAGTAGACACCACCAGAGGTCGGGTAGACACTGGTGATCTCACCGAGAGATGCGGCGACAGCGAGAATGATAAGAGATACGGCGAGCCATCCCCAGATGATGTTGGTGGGACCTCCACCGACTACTGGGTAGTAGAGGGTTGTTGCCAAACCATAGGGAACCGAGGCCAAGACAAAAGACATGAAGGCGACCTGGAGAGTAGATCGTGACCGAACCAACTCGGCCTTGTAGCCCATGGCAGCTAGGAGGTTGTCGGCATCGGCGGGAACGACATCGTCTCCAGATCCAGAGTAGGTGTTGCCCAACTTGGTCTCCTTGTCAGACGCGCCGTTGCGAAGGACAGAGTGGTCGTGCTCAGCGGCGTACGCATCTGACTGCGTGCCATACCTGTAGTCGGACATGAGGGGCGTGTCGCTATCGTCCGTGGTTTGGGGGTCCGGGGAGAGAAAGTGACTGTGATAATTGTCGCAAAGCAAAACTCTGAGAGAGGTCACTACGGCGGATCAGCGCAGGCTTTGAAGGGCTGCAGAGGGACGTCAGTCGGCGCATGGTCCAGGCCCGCTAGCCACCTTGGAGGCAAGACGGCTCAGACTACCCACCCGAATTTCAGATGGCAACAGACGCCGAGCTTGGCGGGCCAATTGCTGATGCTAGGTGACCGGATAGGGCTGTTTTACAGCGCCGAGAAAATCACCGATCGGGTGGGAACTATGGTCTAATGCATCCGCGTTCCGTCGCTTAGGTGTTGAGGTTTTTTCCAGAAGTGGGCCAGAAGCTGAGCCGCTGTCTGCCGACGAAAACCCGGTGAGGGAAGGGCCCTGAGCTGGTCCCTGAAGCATGTCGCAAGACACTGAGCCTCACTCGGGTGCGCAGAGTTTGCAGGGCAATCGCTGGTGAACGCGTGGGGGGAGGGTGAGGTTGGGCGTGACTTTGACAATTGCAGATTTGCGCAGCCAATGGGAGTCGCCGAGGGCGTTTGGCGTGCGTCGCGGGCGTCCACCTCGGCTTAGGAGCCGTATTCGTGGATACGGTCCGGGGCAATGGTCGCGTGTGCATTAACGCGCTGGGCAGGTTTGCGGAGTGTATAGATAGGGGAGAGATGGAGACGGAGATATCAACATGGAAGGGTGGAGTCGTGTTTGCTGCTACCAAGAGCTGTTCCTTTGCTCCTTCCCTTTGTCTGTGCCTTCCTTCCGGTGGGAAAACGCGCCCTAGGATGTCGAATGCGGTAATAGTGGTGCCAGGCTTGTCGTCTAGAGGCGTCTTTTAGTGATATAAAATGGAAATGCGTCATGTTCGACAGCCTTGCATTGGAAGCTGTGTAACGTTGCCGCCATGCATCACGAGATTGTCGCCCTCGAGGAGCATCAGCAGCCCCTCCCACTTGACGGCTTCAGCTTCCCCGCCACCATTACGCACAGCCTGACAGCCTACGCGACGACGTCGACGCGCGAAGAGCTCCACTCGCGCATCCGCAATGCCACGATAGTCATCACGACCACTATCAAGCTAGATGCCGAAACATTGCGCCCCAGTGTTACTCCAAACCTCCGCTACATTGCCATTTCTGCGACGGGAACAGACCCTGTGGACCTCGACGCCTGCCGGGCCCGCAACATTCGTGTTACAAACTGCCCTGGGGCCAATATCGACGCTGTTTCGGAACATGCCATAGGCCTGTACTTTGCCGCCAGACGACGAACCGTGTTCCTAGACCGCGTTACTCGTGCGCAGCCTAGCGAATGGAAGACCAAGGGTAGTGTCAACCAGCACATGCGCCTGCCGGATGGCATGCCTCCGATGACCTGCAAAGATGAGGTTATGGGTGTTATCGGCTATGGGGGCATAGGTAGGTCTCCATGCCCTAATTGGGATGCGAGATCCTGAGCTGACGACGAGGAACGATAGGGAAGCGAGTGGCTGCGCTCGGGCAAGCATTGGGCATGCGCGTGCTTATCGCCAGTCGAAAGACACCGGCGACGCCTCCCCTCGACGGCGGACTACCACTGCCAGCCCCAGATGCTTCAGACGACCGCATACCTTTTGACGATGTGCTCCGTAACTCCACCGTCCTTGTCCTATCCCTGCCGCGGAACCCCGAGACGCTCAACCTCATCTCCACCGCAGAGCTCGAGAAGATGCATCCATACACCGTCTTGATCAATATCGCGAGAGGCGGCATAGTGCACGAGGCAGCCGTCGTGCAAGCCTTGAAGGAACGGCGCATAGCGGGTTATGCTACCGACGTGTATCAGGTGGAACCTGTTGGTGGACCTGAGGATTCACCGCTGCTGGAGGAAGACATAAAAGATCTCAACATTACCTTGAGTCCTCACTTGGCGTGGTTCTCGACAAGGTCAATCAAGAACCTTGGTGAAATTCTGAAAGAGACCATCGAGGGATATGTGAGCGGCAACGACATCAACGTCATTCTCTGACAGCATGACCCATAACGTACACAGTAGAGGCGCCGACACTATACTTCTGTCGCTGACCTTGGAGCAATTCTAACACATAGATATCTTGCGGCACCGACAGCCACCGACGACTTTAGCAACTTTCTGCGTCACGCCACGGAATCGTGTTTGACTATGCTCCTGACGAAGCATGGACTTTATTAGAATTCAATCATTATGCTCTGTGGCTTGACCCTTGGATCACCCTAGGAATACCACAAAAGTAACCTATGATTCCGAGTCTATGTGTACTTTGGTATTCTTTGGTGACTTGAACACGACAAGATAGACGAAGGATACGTGCGGCGTCGTGG